ATCCGATGCGTATACGTGTGTGATATTGGGTTCATTGGTAACATAAATAATATACGTACAATTATTTGTTATTTTTTTGGTCGATACGGTTGATACCGATACTCAACTATCGTACTGTAGCGAGACCAACGATACAATGGCGCCGAATTTTATTTATTATAACCACGTTTCGGCGACGGTGACATAAAACCCCGGTACGCTTTCTTGCAATCCAGGGTTAATACAAAAACCACATGCTCTGCGATTTTATCGAAGTTATGTTAACAATGCCTATACCTTTTCTTTGTTATAATATAATACAATTTGCCTGCCTGTAGCACATGCCCATCGAATGAAACGCGTTCTATTACATACATACCCTGCAGCCGTTATCTTTGTAAATATAAAAGATCGGCGTGGGCCAGTCGCGTAGAAAAAAAAAGCAGGACTCAAATAACACGTGCGTGTATCAAGATACGACCACAATACTGTAACGGGCCCAACGTAGGAATAGGACTTGGAGGAAAATTGTTTGAAATCAAACTCCAACTCTAGTGTATAATTAATTAACACAAAAAACTACAAGCCCAATGAATAAATTCACAAAAATAATATAAGTCCAAATAATTCAATTCACAAACATCGAAAAATATTATAAGTCTGAAAATATTTCATAAAACAGAGTAACGCGAAGTTGCTCGTATTTGATCGTGGTGGACTCGGTCTGACTCGACAATGTTTCGGGCGGCGTTAATATGCTCTGAGCGACCCCCGCAACCCGTCGTTCGTAGTGAGGCTATTTACATTTCGTGAGGGGCAATTTGTATGCATCCTGGAATTTAAGTATTGCTCATCAGTTCGTGTATTTTATTAAAAATATTATAAGTTTATTTCACGATAGTATTCCCTCGCGCATTGTTATGCACAAGTTGACAAATTAAAAAATAACACATTTTTCTATTGTCTCGGTTTCCCCCTATTTTAGTTGTTGGATTTGTCGTTTCATTATATATTATTGTATTGCCTTATATGCTGTCGCTGTCACGTCGTGGCTACATCTATTATTTCGTTTACGGTACATTTTCGTATTATTTAATATTTTCATATTATTAGATTATATGTTCGCTTTACGGCCGTTGTTTTATGCCTATCCGGGCTTACAATTATTCAGCATTATCAAAATAACGAAGAATAACAAATAAAAATAACAATGAATATTTTATAAATATTATGTTGTAATTTAAAAATATTATTTTCCGTTACTTCAGACTTTTAATCCTTTGAGGCACACATTTTTTTTTTTTTTTCGGGAGATATTAAAATTTAGCACTCTTATTAATACATATAAAAAAAACAAAAAAATAGGTATATAGTTTAATTTAATTTTAACATATTCATTGCAGTGACCAAATTTCAACCTAATATACAATAGAGAGGTGGCCACCTTAAATTACCAATCTTTTTTTTATTACATAATATTATAGTTATTATTATTTTTTAAATTTCTACCTTATTTAATAAAAGATTCTTATTCATTAAACAAAACAAAATAATCCTCGTAAAGTGGACTGCTTTATGTTAATAATTTATTATCATTTTAGCATCACTAATCTAAAAACCCAAACAATACTTAAGTAGGTACTTAAGTTCATATTAAATAATCTTTGATTAAACATATTACAAATTGTTAAAGATTTAGAAGGGAATATCATTTAAGATTTATTGATCATAGTTCAATTTAAAAAATGTTGAAAGGTTGATCAAACTCACAATTAACTAAATTAGTTATACAACTCACTCAGTATATTTTAAAAATACTTGAGATAATTTAATGTTTAATTTTTGTATTTATTTATAGCAGCTTTTTTATTGTTTAGCTATTTACTATAAAAAATTATTAAAACATCAAAAGAAATAAATTGGCAACATCTCTTCACTAGTACAATTAGAAGTAGTGAGATTTTTTTTATGCCAATTTAGTAGGTACTATAAATACAGTTCTTAATAATGGACTATATAAGTTCAATGTATCTAAATCAACATTACAGCATAAACTTAAAATTGTAGATATAAGACTAAAATAAAATGTTTACAATTTAATCTTTTAACTAGATTTTGAACTGGTATTTGGTGTGAGTTAAGTTCACATAAATAGAACGCAATATGTTTACTCTTCAGATTACTGAGAGAAAAATATTTGACTTATTTTGAATATGTATCAAATAGAACTAAGTTGATAATAATTATCAAACTACAAGACGGAAGATTTAGGGTTATTATTTTTTAACTTATTATATTTATGACAATCATTAGTGAATTCAGAATTTACATACCTATCATACTCAATTTGTATGATTTAAGCTAACCACACAATACATAATGATAAAGTTATTTCAGACATTAGGAAATAAGAATATTATAATAGCAATAATATTATCATGAGGCAAAATATTTATTTGATCCAAAAAAAAAAAAATGAATTATTTTGCATCAGTCAAAAATTACAAAATTATAATGTATTTATTCTTATTCTTAAATTAAAGAATGAAGAAGAGACGGTAGGAAAAACAATTCGGCTTTCGTAGAATTGAAGAACTGCTCGAGTACAACGTACATGAGCCTCTGAAGCCGGGATGAGTTCGGGTTCATCAATACCTCTCCATTTTACCAAACACATTTCTTGTCCAGATTCGTTAGTTGAAATATCAATGATGCTTTCAGCTACCATATCAGTGTTGGGTGTGCCATTAGTAGTGGAAAAACCTACAAGTGACCTTTGATCTTCTTCATTATCAGTGTTGTGGACTTCTTCAGTTTCTTCATTTATTATTATTTCAGAATCGTTTATTAAATCTTCATCATTTATAATTTTTGAATGCATCTAAAAAGAAAAAACAATCAAATTCCACTATCTTATGATGAAAGTACTGCAAAAAAAAGCCATTAAGAAGATTTTTAAATTATAACTTTCATAAAATGTATACCTAGATGCAAGGCTGGGCAATTATTTAATATTTTTCAATTCAATTAAGTTAAGTAAAATATTTTTTTTCAATTAAATTCAACGTTTAGCTAAAATATAACAAAATAAACTTAAGTACAATTAATAAAGCAGAGTACTTTAAAAAAGCCGTCCTAGGATAATAAGGACGAGTGCAGCCATTTTTGCAGGTGGGAAATTGGAAAGGCAGGTTAGGATATAAAAGGAGTTTAATGTATATCTGTATTCAATGATTAACCATTGTTAACGAAAAAAAACCATCCTGAATTCAGTTAATAGTGATAGTTTGTCAACAATATATATATATATATATGTCATATTATTGTACAATAATTAAATAAGTATTATATATTTTCTTTAATATTGGAAAATTTTCCGAGTTTTCCCATTTGCTGGGAAAACTCTTTGGAAAATCGAAAAATTACTTCCCAAAGAACCAACCCAAGAAAATTTCCTTTCAGAAAAGCGTCTACATTGGAGAAAATTTTCTAGTAGAAAAAGTGTTCACATGACAAAAAAAAATTATTAAATAAACATCTATGTGAAAAACCATATGCTTCTTTTCTCCTCTCAGAATCTTAAATTATTATTAACAAAAATATGATACATTTGACTATTATATTATTGACAATGTAGTTGAATAAAAAAACAATTGAGTGTGCTGCTGTAATATAACTACTAAAGAACAATTTAATCTGGAAAACTTGACCAAAAACTACTGTTAGATTATAGTACTATACATTTATTGTGAAATGGATCAATGAAATTAATGCAATGTTTTAATGCAGATAAGTTTTAAATGATTTCTAATGATATTGTCCAGCTGAAAATATATCAAACTAAATAATAACTAAAAAAAAAAAAAAAAAAAGGCTACACTAGTCTGAGAGTAATAAAAACTTGTTTCTTTTATATATTAAGTCTGGTGTACAGTGCATTTTTTTTCTTTTCGGAAAATTTGTCAAAAGTGCACTTAGCTGCAATAACTCCATGTATCTTATCTTGCCAACTATCTACCTACAACAGAGGCACCCCGTCCAAAGCCAATATGAATACACAGTAATTGTTAAGTCATAAGAACAGAGTCATTCCTCCTCCTAGTCTAGGTCCTGTTTATTGTACCTACATAAGAACATAAAAAAAAACTCTGGTTTTCTAAACTACAACTATCCAAATTTATCATCTAAAATATTGTTAGTATATTAAGGTAGGTACATAGGTATTATCCGCAAGTGGTTTTAATTTTTATATCTAGTAAATTTATTTATTATTAAAAAAAAAGCAATTTATAAACATACTTTCGATTCTGGTTTAAAACGCCAACAATTTTAAACCGTCAATAAATGTACGTTCAGTGAAAGTAATTGAATACTAAACACAAATATAATGATCTCAGAAACAAAGAATAAACTTAAAAGCAGAAAAAATTAACCACAAAAACACATGTAACTTACTCGTAGACACCAAACGGAATGTCATTAATTACTAGTTATTACTCGAGCTACTCGAGTGGTTATTGTACTAACTGTACTATATGCACAATACTCTAAACACAGCTAGGTCTACGATTCTTACGATGGTAGAAGTAGCAGTAGTCAAGGTTATTTAGTGGGAGTGGTGAAACTCTGACATAATTGGTATTTTATATTGGTAACTCACGGCACACCAACGTAATAAAAATTGTATTTATCTCTTATATAAGGTACACTATTTATTTGTGGGGGGTTTTTTTTATAATCATGGCTCAAAGATGCATAATACATTATCAATTATTATAATTGAAACGCTATTATCACAGATTAGCATAAAGGTATTCGATACAGAACAAGGCAGGTAAACATGCAAAAAAAACTTGAAGGTTGCCATAAAACCAATCTGTGGAGTGCTGAAGAGCATTTTTTTGATGCAATTCTCTCACGGTTATTTTTCGGGTGGATAGGTGTTATAACTAATGTGTGTGTTAGTAAGATTACAAAAAGTAAATATGCGTAAGTATAAATATTCTAGGAATCATTGTCGTAATTTTGGATTAATAATATTATCTAGTAATATATATTATATTTAATGAACTAAGTTACATTTTAATTGTATAATTAAATTTTAAGTTGAACAAATGACTAAACTACAGTCAAATTCGCTTATAACGATCTTCTAGGGACCTAGGGAATCTGATCGTTATAATCGAACTTCGTTATATCCGGATCATAAAAAGTAACATGATTTTTTTGAAAAATTGATTTATTAAACATATTTTTGTCAAAACGGCAACTAAACGACTAAGAAACGTAGGTATTCTGTATACAATACGGTCGTACAAGACACATTATCTGTTACAGATAAGATTAAGAATTATCGATTTGGACGAAATCAAATTTACTACACAATGTACAATGTACATGCATACTATTAATCGCTATGGGTGATTATAAAAACCAATTTTCGTTTTAAAATAACATCGCTATATCCGGATTATCGTTATAACCGATATCGTTATATACGGCATCTTTATACGCGAATTTAACTGTATATGAATTCCGTGTACCAGTTAAGAGCACAGCTCAATTGGTATGTTGGTATACGCATCAGCTTATCAATATAATTTTAATATTATATGATTATGCTGAAATAAATAAATATAAACCGATGATTAGATTCAATTGAAAATTATTTTACCTTGTAATTTCTGTTCAGTTGCTGCCACAAATAAAAAATAAATGTTTGCATTATAAAAGTTATTCGTAAAATATGTTTATACATACATATAATACGTGTTATATACTTTACTGTTATATGTGTTCCAACCCTGATAATGACATAACTAATCATGTATCAACATAATATAACAATTTTTATTAAAAAACCACGTTAAACTATTGTATGCAAAATAAATAGCACACGGTAGGAAAAAATTACACTTGTACGAAACAAATATTTATTACACGGCGTAAAACAAGCCTTTTACCCAAAGCCCCAGACAACAACGAACATCTATATCAATATTATAATAATACGTTAAACAATACGTGTTATGATGTATAAATAATAATTTTTACGATATTGTAGCACCCCTTAAAATCTGAGCTTGTGTTGGAAAGAGCCATTCTTATCAATTTTTAAAATATACTATAGCAGTCAAATTATACAAAATCTTCAATTTTATATTAATATTGAGAGAATATTATTAATTATAATCATTATTTTAATAATCCATCATAAGTAATATTTTATAAAAAATCTAGCTGCGGCCTGCGATAGTGGCGCCCTGATACCGCGGCGCAACAGTCGGCAACCACGCGGTATTACGTTTTCGATGATTCAGCATACCTGTTGTGATGTACAATCAAACGAAATAATATTCTTGCAAATCATGTAATATAAAACCACGCGGTATAATAAATCGTCTCGACTCGAGCATATTATTTAGGTACCAACAGACGTACGCAAACCTTTTGTACAGGTACTCGCGGCACAATTTTTCTTATAGGTACTCAGTTTATGTGACGGTTATTTAGTGGCAATACTATATATAAAAAAAAAATACACAGTTAAAATAAACAATTTTACATTTTATTGGAAATTTTATGTCATATCACAATAATAAATTCAAACGATTTTAACATAGACACTGCGCAATTACTAATATATAATATAATATACCTATTTTATACATACACATAAATAGTACAAATAATTTGTACTATTTGTAGTCTTATTATTATTAAATATTAATACTTATATTGTATAATTTTTGTATAAATATCAGAGCCAAATGCGTATCCAGAATTCTATTTCGAGGAAAGCTGTTTAAAATGTATATACGTACAGTAAAATACAGTAAAATAAAAAATATAATAATATTATGTATAACGTAAAGAATAATAGTTTGTTATACTGGAACCCCGATAAGTCGAAATTCGAGGAAAACGCAATTGTGTTGCAATATTTTTCGACTAACCAAAGTTTTCAAGGTTTTAGGAAAAAAAGTTGACAGTTTTTAAAATTGATGTACGCAGAACCGCCTATAAGTTTTTCGGGGCCCAGGACAAATCTCTTTTAAAATAAACTAATACGCAAAAAAAAAGATCATCACGCCTACTTTTATAACTTTCAAAATACTAATTAGTCTAATACCTACCTCTCTATCAGCTCATTATAAACACAAAAAAAAGGTCATAACGTATTAAATTGTACATTGCAAAATTATTTTGACGGGGCTTTAAATGTTACCTTATTCAATTAAAATTAAATTATTAATAAAAACAATTCAGTTTATTATGTATATTTATCCCTAAAAGTATATTTAATTAACATGGTTTATATTAACAAAAAAAAAAACAAATACATAATTCATTACTAATCAATTCCTAAGTAAGCTAGTAAGTAAGTAAGTAAATAATTAATTCAAATTAAATAAATTGGACACATTTATGTAAATGGCCTGATTGCAACTTAGTGCATAAAGAAATATTCGACTATGATAAAAAGTTCTAATTACAAAATACCTACCTATAATACCTAGTAAATAAATAATAAATAATTGGGTTACATTTTTACAATCGTAGGTAGTACACTCCGTGTCATATAAATTATTTAAATATTATACAATATGGAAAACTTAACCGTAAAATATATATTTATTATATATAATATGAACATACCTTCCAATATTGTATCTATGATGTCGACATTGGATGTCTTTCGGGGAACAACACGAGCTAAATAATAACTATATACGCTCAAACAATCCAGATTGTTATTAACACCGTTGTCAGAGCCTGTTAGATTAATATTCAATACACAAAAACAGTATTGCGTAGAGCGATAGTACAATGTATAAATGTAGTGACAATAAACCTAATGAAAAATTCGATGTAAACACGATAAATGCGATCGGTTAAATTATGGGATGCACAAGCCGATGAGACAAAGAACTATAAAATTTTTTGTCAATATCCGTCTATATTTGGAACACGAGATGTTCGAGTTATATATAGTTTTTTTTTTCGAGTAATCGGGTTTTTCGCAAAGGAACGACATTTATTTCGACATATCAAGGTTTTCGACTGTACATTTGATTAGGTCATTGGAAAAAAAAATAAGTAAATTAACAGTATTTTATACGTTTACGTCAGAAATTGAATGTTATTTTTTGTGAGTGTCTTAGAAATGTTATCAATAATATTAGACAGATTCCATTTTTAATTAATTAATGAGTGATGTATTAGTGCAATTATGAAAATGTGTCTAATAATTTAATTTCAGTAAACAAAATAACAATCACTAGTATCCCTTATAAGAGACTGGTTTTAAAACTGTACACATATTTAGATTCAACATCTATGCAAATTTCGTTAAAGTAAAAAATTATGCTCCAACCTCCTTAGTTAGGGGACTGAATACAATTCTGTTAAAATATTTGAATTAAGCGCCTTTAAGATAATTATAATTCAATTTTAGCAAAATGTTTTAAATTCATATTTAAGAGATATTAATATTAATTATTATAAGCAAAATTAAAGTTCACACAAGACTAGGAAAAAAAAAACTCCAGGAAAATGTTTTCTTTATACATTGTATTATTTTGATGGGTGCATTACTATTTACTATTTTTACATTACTATTTTATAGTTTAAAATAAAATATGCCCATCAAAATTATTAATTAAAAATGGAAACATTATTAAAAATCATGGTATGTTGCAAACATTTATTTTTATTTTAATAAATTAATCTGTAAAATGTAGGTATAAAAATAAAAATAATTTACCTATCTAATATATAAAACAAGTTAACTTCCCAAATCACAGTCATACCGGCGACACTATAGTAATGTCTACAATATATTTTACAAATACGTATTGAAACAGGTAAAAAGTATTTGGGGCAAAATATATCTATACCGGCTACCCAAATTACCGAAAATAATATCGTAGTAACATTTCGCGTTCGATCAATAGTTTCCGTTAAATCAAGTTTTACTTATATTATTCTTCTGCATTCGGCGCATGTCGGGATTCGGAATAAATCATTTGATATTCAATATTATAATATAAACTGTACAATACACGTAATAGATATGAATTGAGAAAAAACAGCGCCGGAATAAAAAGTGTCTGACCAAAAACCATACTAGGAAAACAAATCCCCGGTATAAATTAATAAGTAAATTTTAATAATAATAATAAAAAAAAAAAAAAACATAAATATTTATTATACTCATCAATTTAGGTTAATATAAAACGGGCGATTTAAAAATAATTTGTTAAAGGTGTAATTTCGTACGCTATGAGTGTTTATAAAAAAAAAAATTAATTTAAAAATACAAAATAATTATTTGGTTACTGTTTATTTGCACACAAAGATTTTGTAAGCCGTTGTTAATTTTTGTTACCACCACATTCTTTATATTAAATTACGCCAATTTTAAAACCAGAATAGTATTAAATATATGATGTAGGCTGACATATGTTCTTCACTTCTTCACTCAAAATCGTTTTTACTGTACAATGAATATGTTTAATTTAATTCAAATTTAACACATATATTGCAGTAACCCAATTGAAACATAATATACAATGGACCTCACCTCAACTTGCTCATAATTATTTTAATGCTTAATATTAAAATTATTTTTTTTTTTTGATTTGTTTCAATTTGTAAATATGTACCTTATTTAATAAAAGTTATTCTTCATTATACATAACAAAAAAAATTGTTTTTATCATTTATTATCATTTTTACATCACTAATCCTAATATTGATCATATGTTTTATGTTTAAACTTATCACAATGGTTAATTATATTGAAAGCGACTTAATAAATTCAGTTGATCAATATGTCACTTTCTGCAACAGGGTCAAGGGACATTGGAAAAGTCATGACGACTTATGAAGACAGACAAACAATAAATCATAAAACAAAAATTGTCAAACCCTATTTGCTTTTATATATATTCAATGAAAAATAGAATTGTATAAAATTCATTTTTTTTTAGAAGTACAGAATTAAATTTTAAATTTATTTTTTTGAAAAAAGTTCTAAAATACAATAAAGTCTATTAAACAGATAATTAAAGGATTATAATTTTTAAATTTTTGTCTTGTTCATAATATTACTTAGGTATTCATATAATACTTAAGTACCTACCTAATTTATATTAAATTAGTTAAACACATTACAAATCGGTAAACATTTAAAAAGACCCTCATTTTAGATTTATTGATCATAGCTCAATTAAAAAAATGTTGAAAGGTTGATCACAACACACGAATAACTAAATTATTTACATAACTGGCCCAGTACATCTTCAAAACTACTTGACATTATTTATTGTTTTGATTTTGTATTTATTTATAGTAGCTTTTGTATTGTTTTGCTATTAGCTGATAAAATTTAAAATAAACAACAATAGGAAATAAATTGACAGCAACTCTTCTCTAACACAATTAGGAGTATAGTGAAAAGACCCTTGTGATATTTAAACCACAAAATCTGTCAAATTTGTTTTCAATAAATGATAAAATAGGTACTTTGTAAGTACCTCTTTAGAATGCAAGAATATATTTTCCAAACAATATGCATCATTATTNTGTGAATTTATTTTATTATTATATTATGTTAACCCTTCCATTACTGTATTTAATTATTATTTGAGTGAAATTAAGTAATTCAAATGAATATTGATTATTTAAAACCTATTTGTAAATAGAATTACATTATTTAAAATTGTAAATAGTATGTTTCTTAACATATATATCTTTTTTCTGGTCATAATGCCTAGAAAAAGAAAACAATTTTCTCATGTTTATTGGGCAGGTATTATAAATGCAGTGATATAAGACTGGATGAAAATGATTAAAATGTATAGATATCATAACTAGTTCTAAAACTAATATTAGGTTTTAGTTTTGCTCACATAAGTACTATTTGATAATATAAAACTCTTCAGATTACTGTGAAGAAATAATTTTATTTCATTTTAATGTGTACCAAATAGAACTCAGTCAATAATAATTATTAAACTACAATACTGAAGATACAGGTTATTATTTTTTAACTAATTATATATATGACATACGAATATTAATTTTTATCTTACTTCATATTATTGTTACTTAATATTGTTTATTACTAAGTGTTTGTAAGTATTTTGCCAAATTATTATTTTTATTTTTATACTATTGTATAAAAGAAATTATGCTTGATTTTAAGTCTATATTTGTATACATATTATGACAAAACAATAATTGTAAAAAAAAAAAAGGAAATGAAAAATAGTACAATGAAGTAATGAAAAATGTTATTATTTTAATGCTCAACATTTTAATGACATTATAATTTATTTACCTATTGTTCTTACTTTTTATGTTTTTGTTAACAAACTACTTAAAACATAATTATATTTATTTAAACATTAGTAAATTAAAGTAATATAATAGTAATATTATCAGTAAGCAAAATATTTATGAGATTCAAAAAGAAGTGTGTTGGATAAGGAAAAAATTACAATATTATAATGTAAGTAGTCATATTCTCTCATTAAGGCAGGCCAAACAATTCTGTCTTAATAATACTTAATAACAGATAGAGGGCAAAGTATAATGGCCTATTGAGGCCCAACTATTTGAGGTTCCTCAATGTCTTTCCATTTTATCATTAATACTTGTTTTCCATGTTCATTTATTTCAATATATATTCTTTCTACTAACCAATCAATGGTGCTATTAGTAGTGGAATTACCTGAAGGTGGCATTTGATCTCCTTCATTCTCAGAATCTTTGTCTACTTCAGTTTCTTCATCTTTGGTATCTTTGTCTCCTTCAGTTTCTTCATCCTCAGCATCTTTGTCTCCTTCAGTTTCTTCATCCTCGGTATCTTTGTCTTCTTCAGTTTCTTCATCCTCGGTATCTTTGTCTTCTTCAGTTTCTTCATCCTCGGTATCTTTGTCTTCTTCACTTTCTTCATCCTCGGTATCTTTGTCTTCTTCAGTTTCTACATTTTCTGTGTCTTGGTTTTCTTCAGTTTCTTCATTTTCTGTGTCTTGGTTTTCTTCAGTTTCTATTTCCACATCATCTTCTATTACCACATCATCTTCTATTTTATGATAAATGAGCACCACTTCTTTATCATTTATAATTTTTGTGTACATCTGAAAAGAAAAATAAATGTTAAATTCCACTATTATGATGAAAGTATATAAAAAAAAAATGCCAACATGAAGTTATACGTTTTTTAAATTATAACATTCATAAGATGTATACCTAGATACGAGGATGGACAAGTTAATAGTATTTTTTTACACAATTAAGTTAAGTTAAATATCATTTTTTTTTTTTAAATTAAATTAATAGATATTTTGAATACATCAATTAAGTTAAAATATAACCTTAAATTCAATTAATAATTTAGATTAATTTAAAAAAAAAGCTGGCCTAGAATAATGGGGATGGGTGTAGCCACTGTTGGAGGTGAAAAGTTGGGAAGAAAGGATACAGAAAGAGATTTAATGTAAGCATATATCTGTAAGCAACCATAAACCAATGTTAATGAAAAACGATCCAGAGCGTAGATCAATCGATAGTGATACTTTTTCAAAAATAAATATGTTATATTATGATGAAATAATTAAATAGGCATAATATATTTTCTATAATAATATTTGTTTAATGTACCGATTTTCCTGTTTTTCCTAAGTTTTTGTTTGAAAAACTCTTGGGAAAATAGAAAAATGACTTCATAGCGTGTCATCCCAAGAAAATTTCTTATCAGAATAGGGTCTACTCATGTATGTCAGAGTGACATTCCTGGTAGAAAAAGTGTTCACATAAAAAGAAATAAACATCTTTGTAAAACCATAAGCTTCTTCGCTCCACTCAGTATCTAAAATTATCACTAACAAAAATAAGGTACAATTGTTAGTAATGTTATACAGATTTATTGAATACAAAAATGATGATACATACTCAGTGTTCAAAATTTAAGTTAGTATTGAAGAAATTAAGACAATTGCCACAAGATAAAATAATTAATAATTATTTATATAATTAATCAAATTTTCTTCTGACAAATGTATAATAATAAAATGATATTGACAGTGCTTGAAATTGTGGTTCTCTCCAAATACGACTGTTTTATTGTGTAAAATAAAACATTATCTCAAAAACCCTATTCTAAAAACTCTTTTTATCGACTGTTTGTGTCTGATAATCTTGAATGAAAAAATGTATTGTGTATCACTAAAACTAGCTAAATATAATGATATACAGCAGTTAGCAGCTAAGTACCTATGTTTCAAATGAACTCCAATAGTATTATAGCAATCCCCGAGCTAAAGATAATCCAGATAAAAATATATCAAACTAAATAATAACTAAAAAAAAAAAATGCCTACACTAGACCGACAGTTAAAAAAAACTTGTTTCTGTTATAGTTAACGCCTGAATATGGCGTACAATGCATTTTTTTCTTTCTAAAAAATATGTCATTAATATACATGACTGCAATAACTCCATATATCCTATCTTCCCAATTACAACAGAGCCACATGCGTCCACAGCTGACAATGCATGCATTGCTGTGAAGATGCAGCAATCATTAAGTCATAGGAAAATTGTTATTACCATGTTAAGTTAGGTACCTACATAGGTACTATCCGCAAGAGAATTTCATCTTTATATCTAGGTGCATTATTATAGGTATTATAGGTAGAAATTTACAAACATACTTCGATTCTGGTGTTAAACGCCAACACCTTTAAACAGTCAATAATTGTACGTCCAGTGAAAGTGAATTGATAATTATCACAAAAATAATGATTTAAGAAACACAGGAAAAAATTTAAAATTTAAAACAATATTCACAAAATCGTATGTAACTCACTTACTCGTAGACGCCCAAACAGATTGTTATTGATTATTTAAGTAAAAACATAGAGGTTATTTTAACAACTGTACTATATGCACAATACTCTAAACACGGCTTGGTCCACCGTTTGTGCGTCATCAGAAATGTCTATATCTCAAACCACAATATTTGTACAAATTCAATTCATTAATAATTTTAGGATATTATAACCGTAATATAACCATGACCATGATATAACTATGATGACTATGATGATCATTTATAATCACGTTAGGTTGTAGGTATTATGGAACAACGTATATATGGAACAAAAGTCCATTGGAAGAAATATTTGCTGAAAATAGGTCTGTTGGATCAAATGTTTATGGAACAAATTGTTTGTAGTAGAAATACATATTTTAAAAAATATGTTGTGGTTAGTGAACATTTCTTCTATTATTTTTTGTTCCCATGACCATTTATTTCAAAACACTTTTTCCACGTATTATTCATGGAACAAATGTCCATTGGAAGAAATTTTCACGGAAAATAAGTCCAAAGAAACAAATATTTTCGAAAGACATGGTGAAATGTAGAACGAAGTCGTCGGGATAAGTATTTTTTGGGACAAACGGTCTATCGACAGACAATTTTTGGATCTTTGGAATTTTTTTATAACGCTTTTTTCCTGTTTTTTTTTTTTATTATTATTATTTTAAAACGTTTTAAAAAAACATTATAAATCTATTTTAAGTTTTTACAAGACCCTCGAATGTACGGTTTTTGTTTTCCGAAAACGTGTTTCGCTGTATACGGGTTAGTCCGGCCGGCCGTTCTCTAACACTGTTACTCGCCGCGATTGGCCGTTACGCCGTGACGTCATTCGTATAAGTATTCGTACCCGCCCTGGCGTAGAGTGGTACGGTAAAATTGTCGGCAGAAATACGTTTAAGAACAGTCATTATCGTCGATACCTTTTTTTAAACCCTTTTAACTATTACGGTCGAGAACGCTCGGTAATCTAAAAATTCAATCAATCAAAAATATGTATATTTCTTGTATCGAAATCGAGTTTCATGATTACCTATTGTTGTTTGAGGTGGAATTTTACTAAATCCATCAATAATGATTAAATATTTTTTTTATACATAAATATAGTGATAACGAATTGTTTGCTACAAATAATCAAAATATACGCATTAGGACATTACTCAGTACGTACTTTCCTGTATTATGCGTTTTATGTGTGAAATATTTTATGTTAATACTTAAGTAAAATAGAAAATAATCAAAACTTGTATCCTCTAAACGTGGTGGAAATTGAATTGACTTTAAACTCCCACAAATACCGTTTTGTTATAAATTTTGCATAAGTTTTTCATAATTTATTTATGAGTTTTGACTTGAATATAGTTCGGTAACGTTGCACATAATTTCGTTCTCAATAGTACTGTTTTTTAGGGCCAGCGGCTATTTCATTGTTCCATTTCGAGCGTTCTTAATGGTAAGCTAAAAATAGTCGAACGTTCTCAATCGTATTATAGCTATATTGTCGCTACGGCTCACCGTATTTCGCCGTTATTTCCGTACGTTTTCTTGGGCAGGACCCGTTCGGGCTAAAAAATACTACTTTTATAGTTTTATACAGCCTGTTTGGATCATAATTGTCCTTATTTTAGTTTAACTGGACGTTTATTTAGCAAGCCTTTATATAGTAGTATTTTATCTGAATTGTCTTATCTTATATAAGACTTTTATACACAGATATCTATTGTAAAAAGATAAACGTAAATATTGAATTTAGTTGGATTTTTGGTATTTTAAAACTAAATTGATACACAGAAATTGTATGTAAACCTAAATAATTTACTTAATACTTAATTTGAAAATGTTTGTTTGGCGAGCCTTCGAAGAAATTTAAAACTATTGGTCCAAACGGGTTCACTAAATCCTGGTCCAACCAGGTTCATTAAATCCTGGTCCAAACATTTTGTAGTTTTATTAGTGGCTCAAACGTTCCTGATCCAAATGTCCTTCGTCCGTTTTATTCGGTTTAACGTTTGCAAAGCGCTCATCTTATTTCGCCATCGTGCGATACCGCTTTTTTTCGGTCGTTTACGCGTAGTAATCGAATATTTATCCGTTCCAAACACGACTTATATATCCGTAAAACGATCAATTTTTTCAATAATCGTAGTAGCTAGGTTGTGTTAGGCGTTGGGAAAATATTTCGGTGCGGGAAAATAGTAAATAAACCGGCGCGAAGTTATTGTAAATGATGTTGAGTTACATCCACGAAATTCTTAAGTTTCAACCATAAACAGTTTTTACTATCATAAAATAACCAATTTATTATAAGTATATATAATATTTTAAGTTTCTACGAATATTTTTAATTGAATTACAACAAATAACAAAATTGAAAATTAATACAAATATTATTTTCGCAAATTTCCAGTTTTTCTTACATTAACAATAACTGTCATCATCACGTCCGATTAATAATCATCGAAAAATCATAACCGCAATCGTTCGACAAACATTTTGAAATTTACATCCGTCCATCCGTAGGTGGATATTTAATTTGATAGGTAACGGTCTGGAAATCGTCAAAACGCAATATGTATAATATGCATTTATTTCGTTTTACATTGTTGTTCTAATAAGTGGTAGGTACCTATAATTTATTATACACAGGTCAAACGATTCGAAAACGACCCGCCAACACGAACGGAAAGAGTGTAAAAAAGAAATCGGTTTTTGGCCTTTTATACCAAAGAAATAAACTGAATACGTGCGACTGTGTGCAGTCTTTTACGGCTTAACGGAAGCCCGGACCGGCATTATAATTATATTATTATTGTAAACGTCTTACATTATTCTCTTGCCCCGTCGCCGCGAATGTAAATATACTTTACGATTTTCGAGAAGAATCGGACGTTTCTATAAAGACGGCGTCGGGTTCGTATGTGGACGGGGGTGGAGGGAGGGGAAATCGATTTTCTGCGTACGCTCCCTGCGGAGCGGGCAATGACCCGTCCGCCATATTGATCGAAAACGTGCCCGGGACCCGGATTACGGATGAAGCGGAGAGAAAACCTCACAGTTCGGGAATTGTCTGGGTTGCAAAGAGGGTCGATACGCTCAACATTATTTCAATGTAAGCCGAAATTTAAACACATCCGCGCGCGCGTAATATTATTGTATTATGCGCGGTCGACTCGCTATTCGGGTCCGGACGATAATAATAATAATAACAATAACAATAATAACCAGTTGGTACCGGTTAATACCGGGTTAGTAATGTACGCGTAGAAAATGTATAAAACTTTATAACGACTAAGACATTAAATTTTAATAAGTGTTTAAACTTATACATTAATATAT